TATTCCTATATATATATTCCTATATATTATATATATATTATTATTCCTATATATATATTCCTATATATTATATATATTACTATTCTTATATATATTCCTATATATTATATATATATTACTATTCCTATATATATATTACTATTATATATTATATATTATATATTCCTATATATTATATATATATTATATATTATATATTCCTATATATTATATATATATTACTATTCCTATATGTTATATATATTACTATTCCTATATATATTCCTATATATTATATATATATATTACTATTCCTATATATATATTCCTATATATTATATATATATATTACTACTCTTATATATTATATATATATATATTACTACTCCTATATATTATATTACTATTTCTATATATTTTACATATATACCTATATATCTTACATATTACTATTCCTATATATTATATATATTACTATATATGTATTACTATTCCTATATATTATATATATATATATATTTTTATATATTACATCTTTTCCAAAGATAATTTCAAAAGGAATCCTTGCTGTTCGACGATCGCGAGCCTGGCGTTTTTTCTGAGACCGCTGGTCCTCAAGCTCATTGCGTTCAAATTGTGGAAAGATTCAGGCGTCTCGTCTCGGGCAACCTCCGACAGAATCTCATCGATCTTTCTCAATGCCTCGTGCTTCGATCTGGCGTCGAGTGATCCGCATAGCTCCCGATAGGAATTTCTCAACGACTGTTCGAAAGAGAACCCCTTCGACGTTTGCTGGCTGGTGAACGACGCTGCTTGCAGCATTTCGTTCAGCCTGTACTGACCATCGTACAGCGTTCCGTGGATTTTCAAGAGCAACCTTTGACCGTCCAAGCTTCTGATGCCGCAGCTGTTCAACAGAGACGTCACGTCCAACGTGTTGCGAGGTGCTGGAATACTGATTTCCACGCCCCTGTTTCGCATCGCTCTGGCGATGAAAACGAGAGAAAACAGACAAATGAGGTAAATCAGAATGTACAAATAATGACAGATTTCAGATTCAGAAATCTTGCCCTGATTCGTGGGGATAAATTCTATGGTATATACAATGGATCGTTGAAGCTTGAAAAAATTTGACGAAGGGAGAGCATCAATGAATATTCTCCTCCGCAATATCTAGTTTTTTATTTGACTTGGTATCGACGACCGAATGGGAAAGGATTTGCACGAAAGCTACGGTTATTGGTCCAACAATGCTATACAGAATTGCGTTATTATACAGGGTCCAGCAGCGTTCTTCTCGGAAATGGGAGGAAAAAATGGCAAAAAAAGAGGACAAAGTTGTACGGTTTATCGTGACCAACACAGCAGTGTAGAACAATCTTTTATGTTTGCAATATTCCTCAGGCAATTGAGGCTTCAGCTTTTCGTCTATTTGTCGTACGAAAGCTGTCAGGATGGATGATGTAACGAATCATATCAGATTTTGTCTTTTGCTATTTTTTTCTCTTTTTTCTTGTTGCCATTTTTTGGCCATTTTCGTACGAAAGCTGTCAGAATGGATGATGTAACGAATCATACCAGATTGTCTTTTGCTATTTTTTTCTCTTTTT